TTTTTTTTTCAAGCAAGAAAATACATTTAGAATTTTATCAGCGATAAAGGTCTATGAAAAGGGGAAGAGTTTCGTCCTGCTCGTCGGAAAAGGTGCAATTTTTACAAGGAAATAAAGTGAGTTCTCGAAAGCTTCCCTTTTAAGCTTTTTGACAAGTGCGAGCGATAAAGAATAGGGAAGTGTCATGGAGGCTTCCTATTGTCTTTTAAAAATAGGTAGTGATTGAAAACACATGAAAAAGGACGAGACTACAAAAGAATCTTTAAGCATCTAACGCAAAAAACCTGAAGTTCATGACCCAGTAGACAAATCCCGTATTGCAGACTGACAGGGAGTATATTCAGCGGTCAAGATATTTCATTAATTATCCTGCTAGCGGCAGTAACCAGGACAGCGAGTTACTTCAAGAAAAATGTCAACTTCAGTTACACTCGAGAAAATTTTTTTTCTTATTGCCTCAATTGTTTTAAATGGTTGGGGGTTTTTTAGTATCTTTTTCTTTACTGTCTACTGTCCAGATATTCTTTTGTAGCAGGAGCCCATGATGGGCTTCTGTTTGTAGGCAATGTCCCTATCGAAAAGCCAATGAAACTTTAAGCTTTGAATTTCTGTATGTGTGATTCATTATAGATTCGTTTATATGAATCAAAATAGATAGAAAAATTGAAACAACAACGGTAAATAAGTGCCAGATCACATTTTTGTTCTAATTATATTCATATTTTGTATTCTATTTGATCTCGGTGGTCGGGAAAATGAGCGATAAGCAATCTCAAACAAGGCTGATATTTGCTCAGGGTTTCGACATTAGAATTATTAGCAATAATACTCTTGTGCTCGTGTTGTCGCCCAGATGTTCATTTCCTGCTTGGGCTCTAATTATTATTTTACCGGCCGCAAATTTTTGTATCTATCTCTAAGCTACCCTCAAAACGCCGTTGTCATTTAGTGCATCAAAAGATAGATTTCCCAGATATGGAATTGTTGTAAAGAAGGGATTAGCGACTTTTCTCGCCGTCAAAGGCTTAGATCTGTCGTCATCCAATCTTAGGGCTGTGCAATCTCACTCCCAGGGAACGCGATCCGTTCCGTCGGCTGGATAAATGCGTAAGTGTGCCCTGGACACAAGTTTGAGGTGGAGCTGTGGAATCACAAGGCACTTGTGTAGGTTGCAAAAAGCGATTAAAGATAAAAAAAATCCATTAGACTTTGTACGTATAACGGAAAAGAATGCATGTGACAACCAAAAACAATATATGTTTTATCTTATCATCGATTTCGGTTTGTGGTTGGAGAGAAAAAAAATATGATTATGAGTGTGTAATGTATTGTGACTTTAGAATCCTGCTCAAAAATTAATTTTATTTTTATCGAAGATATTTTCTTTTTTTGGTCGTTTTTCGCTTTTACTGTTTTTAAACTGTAATTAGCCTTGAAAAACCGACTGAAGGAGAACGGAATATAACTGGTTAGTCCCGTTTTGGAATTTTACCATTGTCGAACAACCCCTGTCCTCGGCATTTTTAGCCATCTTATTAAAGTATTATTTCGAGCGCAAATTTATCGTCGTTAATGTAGCCACTAATGATCCCAGATACTTAACACCGCAAATTAGGCCGGTCCAGATTGTGCTCGTAAAATGTTGGAAGGTTGCTGACTGGAATGTCAAAAAGTCGCTACCTAAATTTCTTGATGTTTTTATATAAGCGTTAATTAAAGCTTTATTTTTTGTTCTTCACAATAATTTCTAACATCCGTCAAGAAAAATAGTTTGAAACTTAGCTTTAAAGAGTTGCTCGCAAACATGGGCGAAAAAGTTTAAGGGTACTCTTAAGTCTAACGGAACAAAACACATGATTCATTTGATGTTTTGCCGAACGTTGTTGAGTGACAGGTCATGTGTTCAAACTTCAAAAAGTTGATAAACAGTCAAGAAATTCAAATTTGTTAAAGTATATCCAAGCAAAGAAGAGCCCAGTTTTTTGACGATAAAACTCTTTGGTTATTCTTGTTTCCAGGCCGCAGGTATTGCAGTCATGTCCGTGGGGATCTTTGCACGAGTAAGTGCCAATAACTACGAGGGACTGATGGACCAAACTGGCTTCAAGTCTGCCGCCAACATTCTGATAGCCGCGGGAGCCCTGGTAATGATCATCGGAGCTATCGGATGTTGTGGAGTGATGAAAGAGAATAAATGGCTGCTTCTTTTGGTAAGATGTAAATTAGCTTAGGTTTAGATTTGGCTTATAATAGACGGATCGAAACTTATTACAACCGACCAATGATTGCTAACAAACTTTACACGAGTCTTACAGCCGATAACATCATGGCTAAACTGACCAATCACTTTCAACGGACCAAATTTATAACATCATCCACTAACTAACACAATCCATTCACTTGATTCTGAAGACGACCATGGACGATCATACAAGATGAACTACGGTTTATAACATTGTTGGGCTTCTTGTTTTGTTTGTTGTCCTGTTTTGATTCTTTGTGCTCTTTTTCTTTAATATTTAATGCAGTATTCGTTCCTGGTGCTGATGATTTTCATTTTGGAGATCGCGTCTGGAATCATGGCCTATGCTCAAAGAGACAAGGTAATCACAAACCCTAGATGCACCTTTTAACTATCAAAACCGAAATGTTATTTTTCACAAGTACATATATGAAGTCATATCAAGAGATAGTATCTTCTATATCTTCCGAGTGCGGGTCGATAAATATATGCTGCCCGATGCTGCCTCGGGCAGCATTTTCAAGACCTCGGTCACAGTTTTTCACTCTACGGACCGACCCTAAGCCGGCAAATAACATGTTTATTTTTTTTCCTGCAGTGAATTGGTTTTACAGATTACAAATGGGTTTGTTTACGCAACTTTGTCATTGAATCGGCTTGCGCGCCGTCTACTAACGATTTGTATAAAGCTCCTGGCAACGATCGAATAACTCAGATAGTAGACAGAGAAAGATGTATTAAAGAACAGATTTTTTTCGAACTACTTTATGTTAGTTGCATTTATTTCACCAGTTAAGTTCTCCAGAATTGTTTNTTCCCATCATGCACTGCGTTGATAGTGTTGGCCACTGTATTTTCAATGGCAAGGTATGAAATAGTTATGAAATACTTCCTCGTGGTATATCATGGAATATCCCACTTGTCACTTGTAATTTCTTAATTGGTGTGCACACTCGCCTAAAGGCTCGTGTGTATAGCGAGAAAATATTAGTGACTGGTGCGATATTCCATGGTATACCACTCGACAGAGTTGAATAACTAGTATGTATTTCATGGAAAAAACTATTCAACACCGTTCAAATGACGAGCTCTGATTGGTATTAGACAATCTCTCACTTCAGCGCTTACATAACGACTTATTATGGTTGTTTTAGGTTATCAGCAAGATAGAAAGCATGGTGAACAGCGCTATCACGAAGGACTACGGACAGACAGATCACGAGAAATTAACCAAGGCCATTGATAAGGCACAACAAGATGTGAGCGGTCAAGTTGTACTTTAAAATTAATTGATAATAAATGAGCAGGTAGATTATTTCAGCCGTGTAAATATCTGAGATGATTTTTCTGCCATAAGAATTCCGAAGAATTCCGATTTCTCCAAGCTGGAGAATTGCTTACCATGTATGCCTGTGTCTCTGAACAGAAGAAGCATCCCCTATACTGAAATTAATTTGTGGTTAAAATGAAGATCGTCTGGTATACAGGTTAAATTCTGTATATTCTGACTGAAACGTGGAGGCGCAGTGACCTCATGGTTGGTACGCTCGACTCCGGATCGAGCGGTCCGGGTTCGTGCCCTGGTCGGAGACATTGTGCTGTGTTCTCGGGCAAGACACTTAACTCTCACAGTGCCTCTCTCCACCCGGGTGTATAAATGGGTACCAGCGAATTTAATGCTGGGGGCAACCCTGCGATGAAATACTCAGCTCGTATCCAGACTTCCCCTTACAATCACAACATTCTTATTATTTCATTTCTTACCCATCGAGTTTATAGTTTCGTTCTTGATACTTAAATTTCGGTAGTTCGATGTGTCCCGATATTGGAAAGATGGAGAGACCGGCCCTTTCACAAAGCAGAAAGATAGCTAAAGATGTTTTTACAAGATAATGATGATTTTTTGTTCTTTGCTGGACAGTTGAAGTGCTGTGGTGTTTCGGGTCCGTCTGACTGGAAAAACTCATCATGGTACAAGAACAGTGAAAAAAAATCTGAACTTTACCCCGAGTCGTGCTGCAAAAACCAAGTTCCAAATTGTAGTGCGTCGCCCAAAAGTGAAGACATCTATCAAGAAGTGAGTATGACAACAATTATTTCCTCCGTTGCAGACTACGGTGAAACGGCCACTCGTGAAAGCTGCTTGCATAGTCTACACTCCTACAGAACATAGAAATGATATCATAAAATGCGTAAATAGTGATACAGTAAAACCCGTGTATAAGAACCTGTTAGGCTAAAATTTCCCAGTTTAGCATCTCTCACATAAGAACCATGCTAGGCTAAAATCGCAATACAGGTTCTTATTCTCAAAATATAGAGTTTCAAATATAAAATATAACTCAGATTACTTTTAATTTGTGAGGCATCAGGGTGGAATTATTTTCTTTGACTGAGGCTTCCGCGTGTCAAGAGAAATGTGTGAAAGATTCAATATAAAGGCTACACAGATGAATACAAGTTGTTGGTTTTTAAAAAAATTAAGAACCTGATTAAGAACCTTGTTAGCCTAATTTCACAGTTAGCACCATTTATATGAGGAACTATGAGGGCTAACTAGAAAAAACTTAGGTCTATGGACTTTAAGGGTGCATATAATGGAAACAGTGTTGTCAGCACGCAAAGTTTGACCTGGTCTGCCATCTACAGCGTCATCAGNATTTGTCTGTTGCCGGATAACAGGCACGGAAGTTATTTTGTTTTTGGCCGAGTGTGGCTGTAATGAATTAGAAAAGCGTTTGACCTGTTTTAATCGTGTTAACCCTTTCTACGGTTAACTTACTGCCTCTGTGCTGTGCTTCACTCTTATAAGCACCAGTTCAAGCCTAGAACCCAGGAATTTTCTATTGTGGCACACGACTGACTCCTTCCCAGGATTTTGCTTGCCAAAGAGAGAACACCCGGGGTCTAGGTTGAGTATTAAGTACATCTAGTATAGCAAACTCCCCCTTATGTAAAGTGCCTATTTCAAAAGGGAATTGCTTTTATTTATTTATTTTTTTGTATTTTCTTAACGATATAAACGCTAACAAGGGATTAATTGAGCACCACGACTAAGACCTTGACCTGTGAATGTATTTTAAGGGGAGCAATAAAATTCTCAGAGTGTAGCAAAGATCAAATAGCCAACTTAAGAATAAAGCATTTCCTTTCTTCACCTCAGAAGGGGCAACAAGTATCGCACGAAAAATAAGAGTTGTCATTGCAGTTCTAAGTTTTGGCATGCAAACGAGGCCACAGCTGGTCCATCCGGAACCCTAAGGCAATATTTCGGTGGCGGCTTTCGTTTGCTTTTGATTGGGTAATAAACGGCACTTGTTCCCCTGATTGCCGCGGGATGCTGGGGAGGAGAAGGAGGAGGAGGAGGAGGAGGAGTTTTCTCCAGTCTATTAAAAGAAGTGAAAATAGGTCATTAAAATTCTGGTCAAAAAATTCACCTTTCTTAGTTTACACGCCCCTTTCCCGGTCGCCTTTACTTCGTCACTGTATATCAAGTTTTACTGTCTTGAAATATCTGATCACCTAATTTTCGCCACTGTTACAAGTGTTCTGAATGTTCCTTTCATTTAAAATTAGCTAAGAGCTATTTTCTATCTGTGAATGAAACCGAGTAATTGCGTTCCTTTTTCATTTGAAATTAAGTAAACATTAAACTAATTACTTTAATTAGCTGTACACGCGTCAAATCTCTTGTTTTGACACGAATGGTCGCGCACTGGGCTGGTTTTTGTAGTTGGACTTGGACGGAAGGGCGGGCTAAAGAATTGATTACTGCAACACCGACAACCTAACTAGGTATTAACCCTAATCCTGACTTGAGCAACAGGGCACAGCAGGAATCTAAAGGCATTCATCAGCAGTTCTACAATTTTGATAGTTTTTCTTTCATCGCTACTTGCCAATTATTCCTTAACAGAGAGCGTAAGCTGGCCGAACACAGTTTTCAAGAGCCTATGCCTAATTCACGAT